GGACAACCGAGTCTTGTCTTTTCATATGCACGAACAGTAGTCCATTGACTCAATCAATGCCCTTGTAAAACTCCCTTAGTTGCTTCCTTATCTCTTCTAGCTCGGTCTTCTGATCTACCTCCTTCCTAGGAGACAAGCACCTTGGCGGCTTTTCTAGCATCACGCTTTCTCTTCTAGAACCTTCTCCATACATGGTGGCAAGGACTCCTTATCACCATTTTCTTCATCCGAACTTGCAATGGTGGCTATAAACGCCGACTCATTTTCCTTAAGGCTTTTCACGAGTTGCATGGTCGTTAGTCGAACTTGTCCTTCCATCGTTGGTACCTTAACAAGGGGTACCATGACCCTTCTTGCTCCATGACAAAGAGTCGTTAAAGGTAAGGATCGATTACCATGTGGTATTTTTGGAATAACTCTTGCCCAAGAATTATGTCAAAGAGGTCTAAGAGAGCGATAGTGAAGCTGGTTTACCTTGCCAATCGCCCAGCGTGATGTTTACTCCATGTGCTACTCCACACACGGGAGTCGCTGGTGCATTGACCGTCCTGATATGGGCGTTACTTGGACCGTAACTCAGCCCCAACCTTGTTGTTGCCGTCTTGGTCATAATATTGGCCTCTTCACCCGTGTCGACCATAGCATGAGCGAGTCTTCCATTAGTCGTAAGGTCGACATACTGGGCATTGTATTCTCTCGACTTCCTTGGCTACTTCGTGATGGCTCCGCATAGTTCTATCAAGCCCAACTGAATTATAATCTTCCAAACTACCTAGTTTGGCTTCTCAAGGAGGTGATGGATATATATGAAAAATAAAAGTTAGTGCATTACTCACGTTAAATGACATTATCAATATTACAAACAGTTACAAAACACTTCCAATAATATACATTTATATTTTTGTCAAGTAAAAAACAATCTTTTTCTATGTTCTTTTTGCAGTTTTTCGCTGAGCCCATGCCAGATGAAGAAATTGTTGATAAAGGTATCATATGGGGATTATGATGACTCTAGGTCTTCTTTAATTGACTATACGCAGAAACCATGGAAGGACATGATGAATATAGCGATAGACCTTTTGTTGTAGATAAGAAATTTATTAAAGGACATGATGAATATAGTGATAGGCATTTTGTTGTGGATGATCTAGCTACAAGGACATCTATGGATGGGACTAAGAAAGATATTTTCCTTTCATGAACTAGAGTTGTTGATGGTGCAATTTGAGGCATTCAAATCGCACAGTTATCTTGGGATAGTTCAGATGATGAGTACTTGAGTTGTTTCAACTATCTTAAGAATTCCAAATGCTCTGGTGTCGTACAGGTTAGATAGTGCTCCAAAAGTTAGAATCTCATATATTTCTGACTATGAATCAGAGCCTGAGAATGTGATTCAATCTGAAATGGTAGATGACTTGATCATTACGGAAAATGTTAAGATGGTTTTAGATTTCGACATTAAAAAGAGAATATAGCTAAAATTGACACTGCTCAGAATTTCATAATAGAGGGAGATGAGGCCAATGATACGTTAGTAGGAGGAAAAGTTGCATATACTTTGTTGGAACAAGAGTTGGACAATGATGAAAAGCTTTTTTGCAAAAGAAAGTCAATTTTTTAATAGTAGTACAGAGGCAAAGATTGTAGATTCATCTTGTGATATTGTTTACACTAGCTTAAGGGAAGAAAATAGAGTATCAAATTTTGGAACTTATGCATTGAACTCTGAAAACAACATCATCTCACTTACTAGAGCTTCTCGGGAGAGTTAGATATCAGAAACTAAGGGAAACGATTTTTATCAAGGAAATGAATGTCAGGATATAGCCGCTAGAACTAAAATTAAATATTATCATAAATCCATCAAAGACTGTGAAGTTGAGAGCTTAAATGATAGGTTGTAAATGCAGAATGTTTCTAACAACTTTGAGCGTTCTCTCTTTCTTTCTTACTTTTTGATTATTTTGTTCAGGTGCAAGCTGTTTGAGTTGTGTCAATATTTATGTCATTTATTTTATCAATGATTTCGTGTTGGTATGTATAATTTGGTGTTGGTATGTATAATGTGCAAATGCTTGTGTGAATAGACTTCATTGTTTTTACTAACTCGATCATCCCTTTCACCAATATATGCACACAACTTGAATAAATTGTTTCCTTACCATTTGTGGAAATGTAACCCAATAATTTTCAGCATACTTTAGTATTTATGGAAAGCAGACCTAACTACCTACTACGTTGGGCCCGTGCAATATTTGCGCTAGCTCCTACCAAGTTGTTCCACTATAATTGCCATTAGTAATATGAAATTGCAAGTCATTCCAATACGCTTGAGACAAACAACTAAGAAGACGTTCAAACCATTGTCGTAACACTTTCATCTAAATTCATTAGCATAACAACAATCCTCACATTGATGCATAGATGATACCAGTATGACTTGATCTGTAATGTAACAAATAGATACCTTATAAAAGACTTCTATGAACACCAATGTCTTGATAGAAAGTATTTACTTATATAATATACATAAGACCTAAAGTACATTGTCCAATAGATTCATATTAAAGTACTAAAGACATAATATTAAAAAAATATATTAGATCATTTGAATCTTTAAACACATCTTCATTGATCAGTACAAATGATCAGGAGCTATACTCTCTATCACAGCAGCCAACGTGTGTTATTCCATAAACTAAATCAGGAGTTTGAAATACCTTACAAGGAACAAAAAAAACAATTCAATCAACTTGAAATTGTTCTTAGGAACAATAGTTTCTAGAACTGATCGAAAGGAGAAGAGGAGAAGAGTTTTGCATCTTTTCTATTAGAGAAGTATATTCTGAAAAACTTAACCACAATTACATACAAGACTCTTTTACATAGAGATTTTTTTTTCAAGACTTAACTACCTAAGAGTTAGTTATAACTAACTTTTAGAACTAACTATTTTTTCCTTTTTTTCCTTACTCTCAACACTCCCCCTCAGGCTAGGAAGAGGAGGATATATCACACATTCCTAGTTTGGAAATAAGAAAGGTATGCTGGACTCTAGTAAGCCCCTTAGTTAACATGTCTGCTAGTTGTTGTTGTGTTGGAATGTAGTTTGTAGTCATCATTCCTTGAAATAGTTTTTCTCTGATGAAATAACAGTCAACATCAATGTGTTTTGTCCTCTCATAATATACATGATTTGCTGATATTTGCATTGCAGACTTATTGTCATTGAAGACACTTACTGAAAGTGTTACCTCACATCCAATTTCCTTCATCAAACCTAGTATCCACACCAATTCTACTACAACTGTTGCAAGGCTTCTGAATTCTACCTCTGCAAAACTTCTGGAAACTGTAGTCTGTTTTTTCGACTTCTATGACACTAGTGAATCTCCTAGTTTCACAAAATAACCAGTTACAGATCATCTAGTTTGTGGACAAGCTGCCCAGTCAGCATCATAGTAGGCACTACTAATCTTTTCTTCTGAACTACTAGATAGGAGAATTCCCAACCCTGGTTGATTTTTAACATACCTCACCACTCTAAGTGCAGCTTCCATATGTGACTTCTTAGGATCTTGTAGAAACTGACTTAAAGTTTGCACACTAAAAGCTATATCAGGTCTAGTCATTGTTAGATAGAGAAGCTTCCCAATTAACCTCTGATATGCCATTTGATCAGTAGGAGGATCATCACCTGGTTTCATGGTTTTTACATGATCATCAAACTGTTTTGAAGTGAGTTTCAAGTTATAGTCTATTGGAGTGCCAACATGCTTAACTGCTCCTAACCCCAACTCAGACAATAGTTCCAATGTATATTTTCTTTAATACATTAGAATTCCTTTGTTGGATCTTGCAAATTCAATACCAAGAAAGAACTTTAATTCTCCTAAATTGAAAGCTTGTTGCAAAGTGACTTTTGTTTCCTCTATCAGTTTCAAACTATCACCAGTGATCAACATATCATCTACATATACTAATACAAGTGTGACTCCTTCAGTTGTCTTCTTAACATACAAAGAGGGATCATACTGACTCTGAACAAAACCAAACCTCACCAATGCTTCTGACAACTTTGTATTCCATTGCCTAGGAGCCTACTTTAATCCATATAAGGATTTGACTAGTCTACACACCTTATTCTCCCCCTGGCTTGCAAATCCCTGAGGCAGGTCCATATATATTTCATCAATCAAATCATCATTTAAAAAGCATTATAGGCATCCATTTGATGTATATACCATTTTTCCTTGCTGCAGTTGCTAGCACAGTGATCTTAATGTTTTCATCTTCACCACTGGAGAGAAAGTCACTTTAAAGTCTATTCCTTCTCTTTGATTATACCCTTTTGCAACTAGCCTAGCTTTAAATCTCTCTACCTCACCTGAAGTATTATACTTTACTTTGTACACCCACCTACAACCAATTGATTTCTTGCCTTTAGGTAGACTAACCACATCCCAAGTATGAGTGTGATTCAAAGCTTCTATTTCATCCTTCATAGCTTGTATCCATCTTGGGTCTTTACTTGCTTCTAAGTAAGTAGCTGGCCCGGTAACTGAGGAAGAGGCTGCTACACATGCCATATACTATTTGGACAACCTTCCATAAGACACATACTTTGATAAGGCATAGGGTACTTCTTGGTGAATGTTTAAGGACACAAAATCAATCATCCACACTGGTGTCTTCCTCTCTCTAGTTGACTTCCTCTGGTCTTGCACTCTCTATGAACTGCGTGTATCATCTTGTGTCACCTCATGTTGTTCATGCTGACAATCTGAGATTGCACCTTGTGAACTTGTGGTATCAGAAATCTTATTCCTTATGTCAGGAATAACCTTCACTGATTCTCCACTTGTGGTTATGTCAGCTAACTCATAATGTTGTCCGCTCAAAGGAAATATATACTAAGGCTCTTGAGGGACCTTATTCTTTCCTTTAAATGGAAACACATCTTCTCTAAAAGATACATCTCTACTTATAAAAAAATATCACACCATATCATACAACACATATCCCTTCTGAGTATCAGAAAACCCCATGAGGACAGTGGACTTTGTTCTAGACAACAATTTGTCATGCTCATTCACAACCTTAGCATAGCACAAGCACCCCACTACTCTAAGATGATCACAATTAGGTTTCTTTCCATACAACCTTTCATAAGGAGTTTGATAATGAATAACTAAACTTGATAATCTATTTATAATATACACAGCTGCCAATACACAATATCCCCAGAACTTTATTGGAATTTCCCCTTGAAACCATAGTGCTCCTGTGACCTCTAAAATGTGCCGGTGTTTTCTCTCAGCCACTCCATTTTGTTGTGGAGTGACAGGTTGTCTGATGAATAATCCCTAGTTTTTTAAAGAAACTATTACACAATGAGTTCACAAACTTAGAGCCATTATCTGTTCTTACAACCTTTACTATCTTATGAAACCGAGTTGCACATAACTAACAAATTGCTGAATTTGAACATACACATTAGACTTTAATTTCAACAAAAACACCCAAGTCATTCTGCTGAAATCATCAACAATTGTCAAAAAATATCTATTTCCATTCATAGTGGGAATTCTATAAGGCCCCCACAAGTCCATATGCACGAGATCAAAGCAACAAGTAGTTTTAATATTGCTAGAAGGAAATGACAACCTAGTCTGCTTTGCACTAGGACATACAGAGCATTGTTTTATTCTATCCTCTACAGCCAAAGACTTCTCAACAAACAAAATCTTTTTGAGTACATTAGAAGATGCATGTCCAAACCTCATATGCCATAAGTCCACTTCTGCTTGTTTCTTCTCCACAGTATTAGCAGTTAATACTTCATTGTCTCCACAACTAGTTACCTTTTTAGCACTATTTTTAACTCTTCCAATTGAACTCACCTTCCCAATGTAGAGATCCTGGAACACACAGAAATTAGGAAAAAAACTTACTGAACACTACCATTCTCTAGTCACCTTGGACATTGAGAGTAGATTATAATTGAACTGAGGAATATGCAATACATTAGAAATATTGTTTCCCTCTGTCAAACAACTTTTCCCTACATTAGCAACTACAATTGTATCACCATTAAGAAGACAGACCCTTTTTTACTTTTTTAGACGTTACCACAGAAGACTCATCAAGCAGACCTAATTCAGACACTATATGATGAGTAGCTCCTGTAACTATTATCCACTGTTGTGACTTAGAACAAGCTAGAAAAGCACTGCTTATACCTGCGACATTAGCCACATCTGCTGCCTCAGTCTCATGTGTTGATATACCGTTAATGTGGATCATCTTTAGAATCTGATTATATTGTTTTTGTGTGAAAGTTGATTTACCTATCTGGCTTATCATAGACATCTGCACTTCAGAATCTTCTTGATCACATGTCCTTGCCTTTACTTGAGAGCATTGTTCACCAGACTGACCAGCCACTACATTATAGGCAACACCACTTTCTATTCTTTGCTTTCTCTTGGTCTTGAAATCAAGAGGGTAGCCAATTAACTTCCAACAATTCTCTCTGGTGTGACCCTTTAACTTGCAAAAGTCACACTAAACATTATAGTTTTTCTTAAGCCTTTGTCCCTGATTTCTTGAATACATAGCTATTTCATAATCTCGCAACTGTGCACCTGGCCTAACTCCCAATACTCCAGCATTTGTAGCTACTGCCTTATGACTTTTCATCACTTACAATCATAGCATAAGCTTGATTTACTGAAGGCAAAGGACTCATAAGCAATATTTGACTTCTTGCTTGAAGATATGACTCGTTTAATCCCATCAAGAACTGAAACAACTTTAATTTTTGAAGATGCACCACAAAATCTTTAGATTTATCACATTCACAGTTTGGTGCAGGAACAAGTGCTTCGAACTCATCCCACAAATCTTTCAGTTTCGAAAAATATGCACACAGAGACATATTTTCTTAAGACAGGGAGGATATATTCTTTTGCAGATTAAAGGTTCTCACAGCATCAATTTTATGAAACATCTCATATAGATCATCCCACACTTCTTTTGCTATAAATGCATACATTATACCCCAAGCAATTCTTTAGCAACATAATTCATTATCCAGGATAACACTACTGCATTTACCCTCTCCCAATTGTTCCCCAATTCACTAGGAAACTTATCTTTAGCACAAGTTCCATCTATCAAACCCAATTTATTTCTTCCTAACAAAGCCACTCGCATGGATCTATGCCAGATTGAGTAATTCTCAATACCTATGAGTTGAAACGATATGATCTGGGCACCACTCACATCTAATGGATTGAGGAATAGTGGATGATTGTAATCGATCACATTAGGTTGCATTCCACCTTGAACAGAGGATTGAATCCCACCTAGACCAGTCGTCCCTGTGGCTGAACTTTCAGTACCCACCATTGTTTCAATTCTTCAAGATCGTTGATCTTGACTTTGGCATTACACTTCAATTGAACTTTCAACTGTAGGATCGTCGAATTTTTCTAGATACTCTAACTCGACTGCTCTAATACCATGAAATTGTTCTTAGGAACAATAGTTTCCAAAACTGATCGAAAGGAGAAGAGGAGAAGAGTTCTGTAGAGTAGTATATTCTGAAAAACTTAACCATAATTACATACAAGACTCTCTTATATAGAGAGATATTTTTTTTCAAGACTTAACTACCTAAGAGTTAGTAATAACTAATTTTTAGAACTAACTATTTTTTCCTTTTTTCCCTTACTCTCAACACAACTAAAGAAGAAGTTGAGCGAGGGACAAATATTAGAAAGTTACAAAGTAAAAGATACATTTGTCTCATCTATTGCACAATCATTTTCAGGATAACATTTGATGGATGGTCTCTTATATAGCTGATGGCAAACTTGCAGTTAGTTTCAAACGAAAATAGAATAAAATTAATATATATAGATAGAATAAATAGAAAGAGTACCAACATGTCAATTGTATGTTCTACAATAGGTTGATGAAATTTCATCTTAGTCAAGTTTCAAATCATCTTTATTCTTTCATTTGAACCCTTAATATACTATCTACCTTTAGAATGATGAAGGTCCATCTCAATAGTCTTAAATCATTTCCATATGAACTCTGAATATATTATGTTTCATTCCAAAACTTTCTCCTTGTATTGTGATTTCTATGAAATAATTATTGATAAAATAAAATGTAGATATTCCTTTTTCATTTCAAATTCATTAATTTGTAATCCATAATGATCCAGATTAGTTAGGGTTGTCCAAGAAACTCTATCTTCTCAAAGCTAATTTAAAGATATAGTTGCAGAAAAATAATAGGGAACACGAGATATATTCCTTTACAAAAAGGATAAATTATTTATATACACACCTTTTTTTTCCATAATTCCTATTATTCCCTACTAGTTCTAAAATTTTCCAAAATCCCTTATTTTACTCCCAAACCCCTAAACGCTGGATACATAAATCCTAACTCCCAAAATCAACATTTACCCCTTCCTTATTTCACTCCACAAATCTCTCTTTATTTTTAGTCACAAAATCTTGGTAGTTATTTTCATTGAAATTTAAAATCAGTCTCTTTTCTGTAGGTTAAGGATATGTTTAGACAAAAAAGTTTTAAAAGGATATTTATGAGTCTTTTACTTATTTTTAAAAATACACAAAAAATTATAATTAAATAAAATAAGTGAATTTTCAACACTAAAACGTAAATTTGAAAAAAAAAGTAGTAGTAGTAGTTATTATTTGGTAATAATTAATATAATATTTATAAATTTTCCATAATTTGAGTTGGTTATGAACTCTAACAACTAATCATTCATTGAAATTGATTAGGATTCTGTATTATTATTTAATCTTCCCATTATTTAAAATACTAAATAAGTAAAAATAAATCAGCAATTTATTATGGAATAGCATTGTTCACGTCATTGCCACTTTGCCATGATTCAACACACCTATATATGGGTTAGATAAATATGAATTCATATAAATTTAATACATTTTCTATTTTTTTAATCGATTGTGCTTGTTCATGTATCTAATTGGTAATTTAATTCTTATTTATTGTGATACATTTATAGATACACTTTATTTCAGCTCACATATATTTTTCTTTCACAACCTTATTGTATCAGATACATTATTATCAACTACAAAATGATACATTATGTAAGTTGTACATATCTTTCAAGACAAACAATATAGTACTTATCAATTTAAACGAGATACATAAATAGTAATGTATAATGCACTATTTTTTTAGATATGATACGTATATTTGAATTTATTCTAAATGTATCAATTACATAGCAACTAACACACAGTAATGTATCGATCTCAAATTTAACATCTTATGGGCAACAATTACTTATTTAATGTATCTAATATAAATACAATATTTATCAATTTAAACGAGATACAAAAATAGTAATGTATCATGCACTAATTTTTTAGATATGATACGTAAATTTGAATTTATACTAAATTTATCAATTACATAGCAACTACCACACAGTAATGTATCGATCACAAATCTAACATCGTATGGGCAATAATTATTTATTTAATGTAACTAGTATAAATACAATACTTATCAATTTAAACAAGAGACATAAATAGTAAAATGCTAAGTAGAAAAGATATTCATGATGTATCTTCTCAATTTTTTCGACAATTTTGAATCAAAATTGAAAGGATCTTCAATAAACTAGGAGAAAAATTTTGAATCTCAAAATTTTCAACAATTTTGGATCTTCGCTGAACTGGGAGAAGAAAGAATCTTGAATATCAATTTTTTTTGATAATCTTGAATCAAAATTGAAAGGATCTTCGATGAACTTGAAGATTCAAAAGGATATCATTTGTCCAATAACAATTTCATCTATTTTGTATCCTTCATAACTCACCTCGCTTACCCAAAATTTCGATAAAGAGTTGTTGAATCAAATCTGAAAGGTTTCTTCGTTGAACGGGGGAGCAATTTAAAATTTTGAATTTCTTCATTATATTAGGATTTGCCTCTATATGATTGAAAGTAATTAAGAAGAACATAAGTGTAATTTATGAGATTTAATTAATTTTCAGATTTTATTCCCTTTTTAGCGCAACAGAAAAAAAATTGTATTAGAATTAATGTATCCGGATGATGAATTAACGTATCCGAATGGTGACTTATGTATCCAGTAGGTACAAATTTTAAGGGATCATTGTAATTAGAAAAAAAAGTAGGGATAAAGATGTAATTTACTCTTTACACTATGATAATTAAGATTTATGTAAGTTATACTTCAAAAAAAATGTAATATGCATCAAACAAAGGAGAAAAGTTGACAACTCGAGCATCGGAATATATAAAAAAAAAAGAAAAGGATTTGATTAACAAACCAATCAAGACTAAAGATTAACTTGACGTTCTTGACCAAGCAAAATACCACATCAATTAGACAATAAATATAAAACAAACCAATCAAACCTAAAGATTAACTTGAAGTTCTCAAGGAATAAACTCAAGCTAGCCTTTTCTTTCGGAACGCAACATCGGAACTATTTCAAACTTTTCTCACATTAATGGACGTTGTACGAAGATCATGTAGAAATACAAAATTAACCTCAAATGCTTCTATTGGTTCAGAGTAATGTCCTCTACACCAGTTTGATGCCTTAATTCTTCATTACTGCTAACACGCTATTTTTTTTAAAAAATAATGTGCATATAAAGAAAATAGTGGTGCCATCTAGATTAAAATATTGAGATAATAGAAAACTGAATTGTATTATCAGTAAGAAAATTTTATCTTACACTAATAGATACCTTTCATGTTCGAGGAACACACAAAACTATATGCACAACGGAAGCATACTAGAATCTTTCTGCTTACATGAATAATAATAATCAATACTGTTTATGCCAGAATACATATAATATGCTAGAACACATACACTTACAGAAATTTAACTCAAGAATTAACTCTTGAAGTGTGAGCAGATATCTTCAAACGAATCCACGAGTTAGACAGACCTTCAAGCGAATCTACAAGATAGACAATAACTATGGTTTTCTACAGTGATCCCAAGTTCACATCTGAACTCTCTCAATACTTGGGTGGGCAAATATGAATAGAAACCTTCGATCTCTTTCTAGGTTAGGAGAATCCCTATTTATAGAGATTTCTTCCCAATCCAAAAAAAGAGTAGAAAACCTCGTTTTTCTGAAAAACAGAAAAACACACGTTAGTTTTCTCTTGAATAAAACTAACGCTATTTTCCTCCTTTCCCCTTAGTAATGGGATTCTGAGTTCTACTTAAATATGTGCACTGTATGGATCACATAATTAATTACTGAGACTTCCTATTATGGAAATAATTCCAAATAATTAATTTGAATTATTATTACCATAATAAATGACAAATCATTCCACTAGACATTCGTAATTGCACTCCTCTATATTTCAAAATTCCCCATTAAACATTTATGTAATTCCCCATGTTAAGATTACTGATACTAATCAATAAATTAAATTACTGACGAATTTAATTTAATGACTAATTTCCTTTAGAGCACTACTTAACTTATTTCATGTGTTGGATTCATAAATCCACTTGCAAGGTTTGACACGATGAAAACTTATAAGTTTCTCAAAAAGGCATATCAATCAATCTCTATAACGAGACATGGATTCCATCAACTAACTTATTATTTCACCAATATATATTATTATCATCCAATCTACCAAGCATATTGACCAATCTCAGAATCTCACCTTTTAATAAATCAAAACGATAATTAATATATACAAATCATAATAGTTATATTAGGATTAAGAATATAAGTACATTTAATAGTTTAGAGAATATATTTTTGTCAGCCAGTCTAAAACAACTATCTTTACTCGGTCTCGTTCAATACATACAAAATGCACTAGCACAAGAAGTTGGAACTATA